CAGCAAGGTAAGTTTGAGCCACAAAGTCAGTAGTTCAAATCTACCAGTGGCTCCTCGGAAAAATTACACAGGATTGCTATGACTCGGCACTGACTTGAGGGCACTTAACAACAACAATTTGTTATTTGGAAGTAGCAGTCATCAAAAAACATATCATACTAGGCAGATCTGCTGCACAAGACCTCTTTAAAGTGTTGAAGAGCAAAGATGTCAATTTGAGAACTAAGGTATAGCTGACCCAAGCCATGGTATTTTCAATAGCCTCATATGCATGTAAAAGTTGGACAATAAATAAGGCAGGCCACAGAAAAACTGATGAATTTGAGTTACAGTGTTGAAGAATATTAAAAGTACCATGGAGTGCCAGAAGAACAAACACATCTGTGTTGGAGGAAGTACAGTCAGAATGTTCCATAGAAGCCAGGAAGGTGAGACTGCCTTTGTCGTTCATACTTTGGACATATTATCAGGAGAGACTAGTCCCTAGAGAAGGGCATCATGCTTGGTAAAGTGGAGAGTCAATGAAAAAGGAAGACCCCAACGAGATGGATGGGCACATTGGCAGCAGCAAGGGGATCAAGCATAGCAATGACTGTGAGGATGGTGCAGGACCGGGCAGTGTTTCATTCTGTCATACACAGGGTTGCTGTGAGGCAGAACGGACTCAATGGCATCTAAATACAACAATTTCTTATAACACGTCTGAAACAGAATCTAGTTTGAAGCACTATAAAAGATAAGACATGAATTTGAAAAAAGCCTGTATCAGAGCAATATGAATTCTGTTAAAATTGGAGAACAAACATCAAATTTACAGTGAAACTTGGGTGAAAAGAATGGTAAAACCACTGATGCTTTACAAATAGCTTATGGAGACAATGCCCTGAAGAATTCAGCATTTTACAAATGGATTACTTGTTTTAAGAAGGGATGAGATGATGTTGAATATGAAGCCTTCAGTGGCAGACCATCCACATCAGTTTGCAAGGGAACAATCTTGTTCTTGCCCTAATTGAAGAAGACCAACGATTAATAGTTGAAAAAATAGCCAATACATAAATGTCTCAACCGGTTCAGCATGCAATTCTGACTGAAAAATTAAAGTTGAGCAAACTTTCCACTCACTGGGTGCCAAAACTGTAGTGCCCAGATTAATTACAGGCAAGAGCAGAGCTTCCAATGGAAATTTTAAATAAGTGAGATCATGGTCCTAAAGCATTTCTTAGAAGAATTTTAACAGGAGATAAAACTGGCTTTACCAGTATGATCCTGAAGACAACCCACACTCACACTGATGACTAACAAGAGGTGGAAATGGTCCATTCAAAACAAAAGTGGACAGATGAAGAGCAAAGGTCATGGCAACAGTTTTTTGCTTGATGACTTTCTGGAGGGTCAAAGAATAAGAACATCTGCCTATTATGAGAGTGTTTTGATAAAGTTAGCCAAAGCTTTAGCAGAAAAACAGCCAGGAAAGCTTCACCAGAGAACCCTCCAGCATGACCATGTTCCTACTTATTCTTCTCATCACAAAAGGGCAATTTTTGCAAATGTTGCTATTAGAACTCATTAGACATCCACCCACAGCCCTGATTTGGTTCCGACTTCTTTTTGTTTCCTAACCTCGAGAAATCTTTAAAGGACACCCATATTTCTTCACTTACTAATGGAAAAAGACTGCATTGACATAGTTAAATTCTTTAAGGATGGACTGGTATTGTTTACTGCAGTGTCACCCCTGATGGAGCTTATGTTGAGAAATAAGGTTCGTATTTAAAATTTTTTTATCTTTTAATTCCATTTTTCATCAACTTTTTGAAATCCCCTCAGATTTCAAAAATCTGTCATGTCAGGAGAGGAGGGCAGCATGAAGGAATGGTAAGAAGATACCACTTATGGAGGACGGCAAGGTAAACTGGTAGGAAGCTGTTAGGTTAAAGAGAAGTTCAATTCTGAACAAAAGTATGCCCTTGTAAGCTCACCTAAAATGTTGAAATGACATTTTCAGGGGCCATTTCCCTGTATAAAAAATGGGAACACATATTAGAAAACTTCTGAAGAAAATAAGATGATGGTCTTAGAGTTTTAAGGCACTTTAGTGATCCAGAGGCTGAGTGCTCAGCTGCTAACTGAGAAGTTGTTGATGTGAACCACGGAGGTGCTCTGTGGAAAGCGCTCTGGAAGTCTGTCTCCATAAAGGTGACAAGCTGGGAAAGCCTATGGAGAAGTTCTACTCTGACCACCCACAGGGTTGCTGTGAGTTGGCATTCATTCCACAGCCATGGGTTTTCAGTTTGGTTTAGAATTTAAAGCAGGAAGAAACTTCCCCCAAATCAGGAGGAAATTAATAACAAACAAAAATCAGAAGATGATGAGCTACAAAATTCTGTATGCGGCAATAGGTGAGTACTTGAAATATGATATAGAATATAAATGTGTGATATTTAAACATAATGGAAGTAGTAAACAAATTATACCAGCACATAGCATGGTTTATTTTCAACAATTTCAACATATAAACAAAACTAATAGTAAGAAAAATAAGAGATAGTAAAAGAGCATTTCTCTCCAACATGATTGGTTATGATTCTCCAAAATGTATGGTGAACAGAGAAAATGGAAGAAAAGTTTGTATAGAGCTGTTTTAAAGGATGATTCATCTATATTTTCTTCTGAGCAGGGATTTCCATTTCATATCTGTATTTTCAGTTTTATTTTTAAAGACTAAATTTATGCAAACAATATTCCTTGGAGATTAAAATTAGGGAAAACAAAACATCACCCCAAAGCATAAACACAATCTGAGGGTGGGGGTAATGCATGGGAGAGTGGGGCTACATTCACTTTCCAAATGAGCTTGAACCATAAGGAATGGGCTTTAATTTACTGTTTTTGGTAAAATATTTGAAGTCAATAACCAATGATTCCAACATAATACTTGTATTAAGAAAAAAACAAGTAACAGCAAAAACTGCTCTTACAGGGGGTCAAAAAAGGAAAGTTAACATAGTCCCAGAGTCCTACTGGAAGGATGTCAATGCAGAAAACTTCACCTATCAAATGATTCTCTCATTTGGCAACTTATGATTTTGAGGACAGAAGATTCTGAATGTGAAGCCTGGGTGTGAACTGAAGGAAGTGGTATTTACAAAGGAGAGGCAGGTATATGTGCCTAGCACCAGATTTTTCAAGTAAACATGTTCAGCCCCACACTAACTGAGCTGACAGTTTGACATTTTCACCTTTATTTCTCAGGGTAGAGAGCTGTGAAATGTTTCTGCTTCGTGCTATTCACTAATGTTGTGAACCTCTAAAGGTGGCTTTTCTGCATCTAAATGGATGGTAGTCTCAGGCCTCCAAGATAACCCCAGGCCAAGTGGCACACACTCTGCTGGTTTTACATGCCTAATTTGGGATCTTCCTTTTTTATTCCTTCTTTGAAATTGGCTAGAGAATCCTTCATTGATGACAATGTGTGCAAATGCACACATATACATCCTGAAAATCTGTAATTCTGTAACAGCCAAAAGACACCTTTTCTGTAAAATTATCCAAAGAAAGTGACATGAGAAATAATGGGACTAAAACTATGTTTGTAGTCTTCTAAATACTCATGGTGCTTAAACATTCAGTTTATTGTCTATCTAATTCCTGGCTACTTTTGGATTTTAGATTCTACAGACTTCAGATTCTGAAGGTTTGTTGAAAATGCCAAATTCCTCAATATGGGAAATTCTATCTGGCTATACATTGGTGTGGCGCTGCAGGTTAATGTGCTGGACTGCAAAGTCAGTTTGAACAGCAAGATTGGCAGTTCAAGCTCATCAGCCGCTCTTCAGAAACCCTATGCAGGTTCACTATGAGTCAGAACCAACTTGACGGCCCTTTATCAACAACAACAATACATTTAAAGAGTACTATTTCTCTACTTTTTGAAAAAATATTTTGAATATTTATATATACTATTAACAGAATACCTTAGTAGGTCATATTTAGGATAAAATATTCTGTAGTATAACTCACATCATATCCAATATTTTAGATACTAAAATAAGGGCAAAATTTAGGATAGGATCAATTGTCTTGACATATTTCCAAATGTAAATTCTCATATAGAATATTAAAATTTAAATTAGCATTTGGCTTTAGAAGCTATTTTCCCTGTAGGCAGCAATTTTGAATTATGATTTGTTGAACCTGAGTTTGCAGATGTGGATCTGGAACCTGTCTGGCTCTCCTCTCACGGGGCAGTGCACAGGACTCTACACTCTTCACTGCGGTCAGGTTGTGAGACCAACATGCAGTCCTAGGGCATTGCTGACATCAGCACTGATACTTCTAGATCATTTCCCCCCGCACCCCCAAAAAAGGAATATGTACATACATATATATATTTATAGAGAGATGACATATATCTACACACAGAGATCTGAAGCTGGACAAATTACTTCAAATAGCAGCAGACAAGGAAAATAAGTACTTAATTTTATATCTGCTATATTAAAGTTTAAAAATTAAAAAAATATCAACTTACTATAAACAATTTAAAATATGTATAATACAACTTTATGGTTAAAACATTTGAATAGTCTATGAAAACAAGAGCTACTTTGATCTTACATTTTTGTTTAGGTTCCACAGATGATTTTTAATCTGTCTCTTTCAAGAGAAACTATGAAACAGTTGAGTTATTTTATGACAACTAATTTTGTAAAGGGATTTTCTCATAACAAAAATAATTACTTATTACAGGAAGTTAAAGGAGGGAGAGGAAGAAATGGGAAACAAAGTGGTTCTCTCCCCACTTGTCACTATTCTTTTCTTGAAACATTCTGTACATATACGAAGTTATCTGTACCTTCTATACGATTTACAAACATGTTTTTAAAAATTGGAGGAAAATTTTAGAGTCTAAAAGTGTTATTTTATACACAGACTATACAATACATATTGAATGTACATACACACACACACAGCACACTCACACACACATGCAAATCTTAAAGATAAGGCTCTCCGAAGGCTTTTCGACACTCCATCACGCCAGTGCTCGGTGGTCTATCACAGTTGTGTGTACTCTTGACTTGACTAGGTGTGAGGCGATCATATGCCATCTTGTACTCTTTATCAAATACATCTGAAAAAATCCATAAAGAAGAAAATATATAAGGAAATTTATGTCTGATGCTGCTAACAATCAAATTTCTATAATACTTCAGCACCACAAAAATCAGAGGCCGAGAAAAAAGAATCTCTAAGTCATCTGAAAAAACAAAAACAAACCCTAGAGAATTTTAAAGCTGAAAAGGAAACTTTGGAGTCCCTAGAATTTTAGAGATCGATTGCACAGTGAAACTTAAAAACATTTAAAACACCAACATCTACTATTACCAAGATGTCAAACGCCACTGCTATAACACAGGCTTTTTTTGTACCTTGCTTTTAATATGCCATAAATGAGCTGGAACTGACTTGAAAGCACTTGACAACAAATAATAAAAGGACTAAGAATAAATCATGGCATTTTTCATCAAGAGTAACAAAAATGTTTTCATTTCTTTTTTAAAACTTCCATCGCACAAGTCTTCTACTTCTTTGGTTAAATTTATTCCTAAGTGTTTTATTGTTTTTTTTATACTAATGTAAATGGAACGGTTTTCTTAAATTTCATTTTCAGACTGTTCATTGTTAGTATATGGAAATACAACCATTGTTTGTGTGTATTGATCTTGTATCCTGCAATGATGCTGAACTTGTTTATTCACTCTAATAGTTTTGTGTGTGGGTTTTCTAGGTTATTCTATACATATACATATAGGATCATGTCATCTGTGTATAGTTTTACTTCTTTCCAATTTGCACTGGACTGTGAACCACAAGGTCAGTGGTTTGAGTACACCAGCTGCTCTGTGGGAGAAAAATTAGACTTTCTGATCCTACAAAGATTTACATCCTCAGAAATCCTATGCAGGGTCACTATGGCTTGATGACATTAAACAACAGTAACAATTTGGATAGCTTTTGTTCTTTTTCTTGCCCAATTCCTCTAACTAAAATTTTTAGTACAATACTGAACAGAAGTGGTGAAAGTGGATATCCTTGTCTTGTTTTAGGCGAAAAAGCTTCATTAATCTTTCACTATTTAGTAATTTGTTAGTCAGGGATAAACTCTCTTTATCAGCTATAGATTTATTTATTTATTTAATAAATGGCCTTTACTGCTTCTAGTCCTAGTTTTTTTAATGTTTTTAATAATTAAAGTATGTTGGCTTTTGTCAAATATTTCTGTGTCTAGTGAAATGATCAAGTAGTTTTTGTCTTTTATTAAAATGCTACTTTATACTGATTTAGTATGTTGGATCACCCCTTACATCAAACTGGGATAAATCAAACTTTCATGGCACGTTGTCCTTTATCCTGCTGCCTTCAGTTTGCCTGTATTTTGTTGACCCTCTCCCCGAACCCCCACATATATTGAAGGACATGGAGCTCTGGTAGCATAGTGATTACGAGTAGGGCTGCTAACCTCAAGCTTAGCAGTTTGAAACTACCAGCCGTTCTGCAGGAGAAAGATGAAGCTTTCTGTTCCTAAAGATTTACAGCCTTAGAAACGCTATGCAGGGTCACTATGAGTCAGAACCGACTCCATGGAATATAACCAATCAGCCATATTGAAGGACATTGGTTTAGTTTCTGTATGATGTCTTTGTCTGGTTTTCCTATTAGGGCAATACTGGCCTCATAGAATGAGTTAGAAAGTATTCTGTTATCTGTTTTTTAGGGGGATGAGTTTTGAAGGAATGGTGTTAATGCTTTAAACATTTGGTAGAATTCACCAGTGAAGAATATCTTGTTAAGGGCTTTTGTTTGAAGCTTTTTGATTATTGACTCTTACTATTGAGGTTTTCTATTTCTTCTTAAGTCAGTTTTAGTAGTTTGTGTCTTTCTAAAAAACTGTCTATCTTATCAAATTAATTCATTTATTGGCATACAATCATTAATTATATACCCTTATAATCCTGTTTATTTCATGAAGGTCAGTAGTCGTGTTCCATCTTTCATTCGTGATTTCAGTTGAGTTTTCTCTTTTCTTCGTCAATCTAACTAAAGCTTTGTCAATTTTGTTGATCTTTTTAGAAACCAACTTTTGGTTTATTGATTTTATGTATTGTTTTATAAATTTCAACATATTTCTGCTCCAATCTCTATTATTTCCTTCCTTTCCCCTGCTTTTGGCTTAGTTTGCTTTTCTTTTTCAAGTTTCTTAAAGTGGGAGGTTAGGTTATAGATTTGAGGTTTTACTTCTTTTTAAATTTACTCATTTACTGCTACACATTTTCCTTGAAGCACTACTTTCACTGCATCCATATGTTTTGGTTTGGTATGTTTCTGGTTTTAGTCATCTCAAAATTCCTAATTCCCTTGTGATTTCTTTGCCCCACTGGTTATTTAAGAGCATGTTGTTTAATCCATGAATATGCCAAATTTGCTTCTATTGTTGATTTCTAACTTTATTTCATTGTGACTGAAGGACATACTATGTATGTGTTCAACTCTCTTTAAGTTTATTGAGACATGTTTTTTATGGCTTAACATATGTCCTGTCAGGAGAATCTTCAATATACACTAAAGAAGACTGTGTATTCTGCTGTTGTTGGATGGAAAGTTCTATAGATAGACACTGTAAGCTCTATTTAGTTTATAGTGTTGTTCAAGTCTTCTGTTTCCTCTCTGATTTTCTGTCTAGTTGGTTCTAGCCATTATTGCAAGTAAGCTACAGAAAATCTCCAACTATTATTGAATTGTCTATAATTCAATTATAAGTTTTACTTCCTGTGTTTGGTTTACTTCCTATTATTAGGTGTGTAAATATTTAATAATTGTTACACCATCTTAGTAAATTGCTAACTTTTATATCATTATGACATGAAGGGCTTCAAAAAGTTCATGGAAAATGGAATAGGAAGATAATGGAATTTTTCCATGTACTTTCTGAAGTCCCCTTGTATGTCCTTGTTTGTCTGTTATTTATATATCCACCCCAACTCTCTTTGGGTTACTGTTTATATATTATATATAGTTCTTATCTTTTTAGGACTTATGTATTTGTATCTTTGTATCTAAAGTTTGTCTCTTTTTATATAGCATATAGTTGAGTCCTATTTTTTAAACCCATTCAGCCAATCTCTGCCTTTTAGTATTGTTGCTGTTGAGTGCTGGTGAGTCAGTTCCAACTCATACCAACCCTGTATAGGGTTTCCGAGGAGTGGCTGGTTGAGCGTGAACCACTACCCTTGCTGCCTTTTAATAGGAAAGTTTTATCAATTTATACTTAATATAATTACTGATAAAATAGGATTTATGTCTGTCATTTTGCTATTTATTTCCTTATGTCCTCATTATTGCTTTCATTTGAATTAGCTAAGGAGACTTGGTGGTGCTGTGGATTAAGCACTGAGCTGCTAACTTCAAGGTCAGTGGTTCAATCCCACCAGCCACTCTGCAGGAGAAAGATGAGGCTTTCTGCTCTCATAAAGATGTACAGGCTCATGGTGAGTCAGAACTTACTCCATGCACATAACCACCACCACTCACCATGAGTCAATATTGACTTGATGGCATTTTTTTTTTTTTTTTTTGGTGTGGATCAGCAGTGGACTGCTAATCACAAGGTTAGCAGTTCAAACCCACTAGTAACTCCTTACAAACCCTACACATGGTACAACAAGGAAATGTTTTTAGTTTATCACTTTAATTCTGTTGTTTCTTTTACTATGAATTTTTATTCCTGGATATTCTTGCATGATTTTTTTTCCAGGTGAACATTAAAATAATTTTATCAAGTTTTAAAAAATTAAAAAAAAAAATAGTCTGCAGTGTTTCACAACCATTGAAGTTAAAAAAATAAATAAATAAAATAAATTCTCACAACACTGTGCTCAAAGTTTCCTGGTGTGAACTTCTTTACACCCATTCATCTTTCTTTTAGTGCAACTTTCTTCAAATTATCCCATAGTTATTTCAACTAGGTGATCACCAATTTAATGTGACATATGAGTGCAGGGGATAAGCACTAGACTACTAAATTCAAGGTCGGTGATTCAAAGCCACTAGCTGCTCTTTGGAAACCCTACACGGAGTTGCTATGAGTTGGAACTTACTTGACAACACACAACAAGGAGTGCAGGGTTCCTGGATTATAATTCTCTGGGAGCCCTTTTTAAAAAACAACAGAGGTGCTAAACAAGACTCTATTCAGCTTGCATTTACAGCTCAGTCTTTTACGGTCTTTATTGTTGCTGCTGTTGTTTACTGCCATCAGGTTGGTTCCAACTCATAGCAACCCTGTATAGGGTTTCTGGGGAGCAGCTGCCATGCTCCTCATGGCTCAAACCAATCTCACAGTCCAGCGCACTAACCGCATGCGTGCAATGCCACACCAGGAATGGAAGGTCATGTTAATATAAGCTGATTTCCCATTCTTTTATATGCATAGTTTTATTTTCTTCTAACTAGTGTCTTTACCCTTTAAATGTTTGTTTTATTTAAAGTAACATACATATTTAATAATTCTGTTCTCTAAGATGTTTGTCAACAAATGCGTAGTGGTTACAAAACAGACTGTTAATCTCAAGGTCAGCAGTTCGAAACAAGTTGGAACCAACTCTATGGCACGTTAACTATCACCACTACTACCAAGATGTTTGTCATTTCACCTATACATACCTTTGCTGCCAAATGTTACAAACTCGCAGCTTGAGATATCTAGTTAGGGATGGCTGCTCTTAGACCTCTTCTTTACTCATTGACTCTCCCAAGCCTCAGTGAACTTGTTGGGAAACTAATAACAAAAGGAGAACCCTTGTTCTCTATTCATGCTCCATCTGGTCTGACTGAGCAATCTGTATACTGCATATGATGGTTATATAACATCCTTCTTACTCTGATCCCACTAATAAATGGCTGTGGCAAATGTCACAGGCACTCAGAAATCCATTAGAAGTGTGGACGCTGAAGAACTAGATTGTCTTTTTGTTAAGACCAATGTATAACCTAATAGAATATGGCCTATTACATATCCTTTCATTAACTGGTAAGTAGGTTTATGTAGGACTTTCGAGTCAGTTACCATGGTAGACAGATGAATTACATGCATTATCATCATCCTATTCACAATATATGGAATCCTCGTGTGGTGCTGTGGGTTAATGTGCTGGACTGCAAGGGCAGTTTGAATCACAAGGTTGGTGGTTCAAGGGCTGCTATTAGTTGGAACTGTCTTGATGGCACTTAACAACAACAACATTCACAACATTATTAATTCTCAGAGTGCCAAACATCTGTTTGAAAACAAACCCTACCATCAATCTTATTTTTTCTTGGTAAAGGGAATTTCTGTCCTTTCTTAAGACTTGGAAGTGAAAATAATTTAAAATTTAAATTTAAAGGATAAATATAATAACTGAGAGAAGCAGTTAATTAACGAATACGTTTGGCACCTTCTAAAATATTTTTTGTTGCTGTTAAGTGCCATTGAGTCAGTTCTGACTCACAGCAACCTTGTATAGGGTTTCCAAAGAGTGGCTGCTGGGTTTGAACTTCCAATATTTTAGGAGGAGTCCTGGTGCTTTGCTTATCCTATAGCAACACACCAGGACCGCTCCTAAAATATTTAGCTACTTTAAATTCTTTCTGAAAGAGGCTTAAGAACATTAGTGATATTACATGATGGTTAAAACAAGGGATTCAAAATTTAGAATGCCTGGTTTAAAGGAAGACTGCTTGGCTCTAAAACTTCCTGGGAAACCCAAGATTAAGTCACTTAATCTTTTAGATCCTCAGTCTCCTAAATAATAATATGTGGATGATAACAGTATCTATCTTATTGGATTTTGGGGGAAATTACATGAGACAATACAGAGAAAGAACTTATTTCAATGTCTGGCACAAAGTAAGCCCTCAAAAAATGCTTTCTTTAGTTACTTATCATTATTATTCATTATTACTTGCTGCTATTGTCAGCTGCCAACAAGTTGGCTCTGACTCATGGTGACTTTAGGTATATTGCTCAACATGAAATGTTATCCAGTCTGGTGTCATCTTCAGGATTGTTGGTATGTATGAGTTCAGTACTGCAGCTATTATGTCAATTCATCTCATTAAGGGTTTCCCTTGTTTTTGTTGGCCCAACAAAACATGATGTCCTTTTGTAGCAATTCACCTTTCCTGATGAAGTTGAAGTCTCACCATCCTTGTTTCTAAGGAACGTTCTGATTGTCGTATTTCTTCTAAGACCAATCTGGTCCTTCTTTAGGCAGTTCACAGTACTTCTTTGCCAACACTACAATTTGAATGCATCAATTCTACTTCTGCCTTCCATTTACACTATATTACTTGCACATGCATATGAGGTGACTGAATTATAGAATATTAATATAATAATAAAGGCTACCAATACAATAAAAACACTTTAAAAGCAATACTACCATATACAAATGTTACATATTATAGAGTATGCTGAATTACCTATATCAATGTTTTCTCTTCCTAGTGCCACAAGTGAGAGAAATAGTATTTCTCTGTATAAACTCCTGCAGGAGAAAAGAGGTGGGGGAACCATCAGTATACATATAATCCATATGTTTTCTACAACATTTGTTTTGCTAATATAAACATGAGCTACTCTAACAAATTACTAAGTAAGCAGTATGAAACAGCTTAGAGAAATAGCATATTCATTTAAGAGAATGACTTACCGCTGTCTTTTAAAATGTGGACACTTACTCAGTGTCTCTAAAATCTGACTCATTGGTCCATAGACATCATTCCTTTTAATGCTTTTTACTATACTTTTTAACAGTTCCTGGTTAAATGAATTCTCACTTTTTTGCAGTAAATGGACCATTGGATACTTTTGGGCTGCAAAAGAACAAAAAGTACGTATGAAGTAAAATGTTCAATGTAGAAAGGAGAAAGAAAATAAGCAGCAATGGACAGCTATTAAAGAAATTACAAAGCACCAAAAATAAATTAAAGGCAATAAAGAAGAAAAGAATAGAAACCTAAGAATGAAGAAAGCAAGAAAAAGGAGGAAATGAAACAACTAATGACAAAATAAGCTTAAAGCTTCTTGTGCCCTTAAATAGTCAATAAAAATATTGTTTTCCTTAATACAGCCCTTGAAGGAGATTCTTTTATCAGTAGCCTGGAATGGAAACAAATTAAAAAAAAAAGAAAAAGAAGGATCTGGGACAGGCAATGTGCTGAAACTACAAAATATAACCCCTCAGCACATACACAACACGCCTCCAAAGAAAAGAAAATGTGACCTTCAGAGAAGTAGCACTAAAAAGATCAAAGTTAACACTCACTCTCAAACAAAAGAGTACGATTCTGACCTGTAAGACAAAAAAGTAGCAGTCAGTTATACATTAGCTTAGGACATATAAAGTAGGTACTTATTACGTTTATATGCTCCAAGTCAGTCTTCCATGATGACACTTACTGTGGGCATTCCAGAGGATGTACAGAGGTTGTCCTGGATCCTGATGTAATTTCATATTATCCCATAGCATTTGTATTAAAACATGTTTACTATCTTCTGACATACAGTGACGGGGAATCTGTGTTGTAGAATAAACATTAATTAATGATCTTTACCATCACTCATCTGTCAGTTCATCATACTGTGGTGGTTTGTGTATTGTTGTGATGCTAAAAGCTATGCCAGGGGTATTTTAAATGCCAGCAGGATCTCCCAGGGTGGGAAGGTTTCAGGGGCGCTCCCAGACTATTACAGACTAGGAAGAAAGAAAGGGGACCACTTCTGAATGGTTAGCCACTGAAAATCTTCTGAATAGCAGTGGGACATTGTCAGAATATTGCCAGAAGATAAGTCGCTCAGGTTGAAATGTACTCAAAATAAGACTGGGGAAGAACTGCCTCCTCAAGTAGAGTTGACCATAATGACGTAAATGGAGCAAAGACTGTGGGACCTTCATTTGCTGATGGGGAACAACTGAAAAGGAGGAATGGTGGTGGAGTTGGTTCCGACTCTTAGCGATCTTGTATAGAGTTTCTGAGGCTGTAAATCTTTACAGGAGCAGAAAGCCTCATCTTTCTCCCACAGAACAGCTGGTAGGTTTGAACTGCTGACCTTGAGGTTAGCAGCCTGATTTGTAATCACTGCGCTACCAGAGCTCCTTGAAAATGATAGACAGCTGCAAACATCCATAAGTATCAGAACACAGAATGTACAAAGCATGAAGTCTAGGAAAATTGGAAGCTGTAAAAAATGAAATGGAATGCATAAGGATCGATATTCTACGCATTCATGAGCTGAAATGGACAGGTATTGTTCATCTTGAATCAGATAATCATATGGTCGTCTACACCAGAAATAGCAATGGAGTTGCTTGCATTCATCGTCAAAGAGAACAATTCAAGATCTATCTTGAAGTATAATGCTGTCTGTGACCGATTAGTGGTGCTGTGGGTCAATGTGCTGAACTGCAAAACTGGCGGTTCAAGCTTACCAGCTGCTCCTTGGAAATTCTATACTGGTTCACTATGGGTCAGAACTGACTCTCAGCACATAACAACAACAAAAAGGGAGACCAGTTAATACCACTAACATTCAAATTTATGCACCAACCACTAAAGCCAGTGATGATGAAATTAAAGAATTCTTCCAACTTCTTCAGTCTGAAATTGATCAAACATGTAGTAATCAAGAAGCATTAATTACTGATGATTGTAATGCAAAACTTGGAAACAAAGAGGAAGGATCAGCAGTTGGAAAATACTTTGCAACAACATAAATGGAGCTGGTGTGGTGCTGCAGAATAAGCACTTGACCTCAGGTTGGTTTGAACAGCAAGATCGGTGGTTCAAACTCACCAGCTGGTCCTTGGAAACTCTATACAGGGTTCTATGAGTTGGAACCGACTTGACAGCACTTAACAACATACACATAAACCACACCAGATAGCATATAAAGGAATCAAACTGATTACATCTGTGGGAAGAGATGATGGAGAAGCTCCATATCCTCAGCCTAAACAAAGCCAAAGGGCAACTGTGAAACACCAATTGTTCATATGCAAGTTCAGGTTGAAGCTGAAGGAAATTAAAGCAAGTCCATGAGAGCAAAACATGGCCACGGATATATCTCACCTGAATTTGTGCATTAAACACCAGTAACTGAAGACCAGAAGAGTTGTGAGATGATATCAAGAACATCACACAGAAATAAAGCAAAAAGTCATTAAAAAAGTAGGAAAAAAAGAAAAGACCAACATGGATGTCAGACAAGACTCTGAAACTTCCTCTTGAATGTAGAGAAGCAAGAACAACTGGAAGAAATAACGAAGTGAAAGAACTGAACAAAAAAAGTCAAAGGGTAGTGTGAAAAGACAAAGTAAAGTATTATAATGAAATGTGCAAAGACGTGATGTCAGAAAAACAAAAGGGAAGGGCATGCTCAGAATTTCTCAAGCTGAAAGAAGTGGAGAAAAAAAATTCAAGGGTCAGGTTGCAATATTGAAGGATTCCGATGGCAACTAACAAGAAGCAGAAGATGGGCAAAATAGTGAATAACACAGGAAGCCTCAAAAGAAGATGGAAGAAATATATAATATTCACTGTACCAAAAAGAAGCAGCTGATGTTCAACCACTTCAAGAATAAGAACCAGTGATACTGAGAGAAGAGGTCCAAGTTGCACTGAAGGCATTGGTGAAAAACAAGGCTCAATTTGATGGAATACAAATTGAAATGTTTCCACAAACTGATTCACTCACTCATCTATGCCAAGAACTTTGCAAGAGAGCTACCTGACTAACTGATTAGAGGAGATCCATATTTGCAACTATTCCAAAGTAAGGTGACCCAACAGAATGTGGAAATCGTTGAATAATATCATTAATATAATAAGCAAGGAAAATTTTACTGAAAATAATTAAAAAACGGTTACAGTAGTACATTAATAAAGAGCAGTCAGAAATTCAAGCTGGATGCAGATGAGGACATGAATATCACTGCTGATGTCAGGAAGACTTTGACTGAAAGTAGAGAACATCAGAAAGATGTTTACTTGTGTTTTATTGACTATGCAAAGGCACTGGATTTTGTGGATCATAACAAACTATTGATAACATTGTGAAGAATGGGTATTTCAGAACACTTAATTGTGCTCATGAGGAACCTGTACACAGACCAAGAGCAGTCATTAAAATATAACAAGGAAATACTGAATGATTTAACATTAGAAAAGGTGTGCATCAGGGTTGTATCCTTTAATCATACTTATTCATAACAGTCTGTGATACACAGATGACACAACCTTGCTTACTGGAAGTGAAGAGAACTTAAAATACTTACTGATGAAGATCAAAGACTACAGACTTCAGTATGGATTGCATACTGTAAATAAAGAAAATGGAAATCCTCATAAATGGACCAATGATAAACGGAGACTGAAGTTGTCAGACTTCATTTTGCTTGGTTCTACAATTAACACTCATGGAAGCAGCAGTCAAGAAATCAAAGGACATATTGCATTAGGCATACTTGCTTCAAAAAACCTTTTTAAAATGTTAAAAAGCAAAGATGTCACTTTGAGGACTAAGTCTTGCCTGACCCAAGCCAATGATATCTTCAATTGCCTTCAAATGCATGTGAAAGATTGACAATGAATAAAGAAGACCAGAAATACATTTGAATTAAGGTACTGACAAATAATATTCAAAGTATCATTTGTTGTTGTTGTGTGCCATGAGTCGGTTCCGACTCATAGTGACCATGTACAGGGTTTCCGAGGCTATAAATCTTTACGGGAACAGAAGGCCTCATCTTTCTCCCGCAGAACGGCTGGTAGTTTTGAATTGCTGACCTTGGCGGTTTGCAGCCTGATTCGTAACCACTATGCATGGACTGTCAGAAAAACATACCTGTTTTAGAAGAAGTATAACACCCTTAGAGCCAAGGATGGCGAGACTTTGTCTCTTGTATTTTGTATATCATGCTTGATAAAGTGGAGGTCAACAAAAAAAAGAAAGAGCCCTAATGAGACGGAGTGACATGTAGCAGAAACAATGGACTCAAACCTAGTGATTGTGAGATGGTACAGGACCAGGGAGTGATTGGTTGTGCTTAGGGCTGCTATGAATTGGAATTGACTTGATGGCATCTAACATTAACAATGATCCTTACAGGATGAGTTTCTGCAAATACTGCAAAGATCTTTACCAACAATTTTTAGCATGTATGTGTGCAACAAGAAAAGAGAATAGATAATGACTGATTTGTATACATTTTATAACCTCCATAACAAAGTCCTTAGATCAGTGAGAACGGAGACCATACCATGAAAGACGAACCTTGCCCTGCTCGTGATGAGGGACCACAGAAAGATGAACCTAAGAGTCACATTTATTATTATACGTATAATTATATGTATTACCCTAAGAGCCTAGCCCACGTGACCCTGACAGGGTTAACCTTTGGTCACTCATTTATCATGTACTGAAAATCCAAAACACATGCACAATTGGGAACATGAAGTATAAGAAGAGAGAAGGCAAAGTTCCCAAACATGGAGGCTTTGCAGCTTAGTGTTGGTGACAGCACATGAAAAACTGAAAATACTTATATAGACTAACATATAAAAACACAAATAAATACACAACAAACTAACTGCCCAAATTTTAAGCAAATTCAGAATAAAGAAATGGAGAGAATAGTGGCACATGATTGTGCTATGAATTATAGATATCATCTTTAAAAAGCATTTGGCTTGTTTTTAAAGGAAGTATGAGGCATAATGCTAGATATTCAGGCAAAGTTTGAATATATATGTTTGCTTTAAAAGTAGGACTACCTCACAAACCCTTCTTATAAGATTAATTATATTCTTGTGGATATACAAAGTTCAAACTCAATTTTGTTGTTGTTGCTGTTTTTAAGTGCCATAGTCTGTTCTGTCTCATAACAACACTGGGGAGGGTTTCTGAGGAGCGGATGGTGGGTTTGAGCTGTTAAACTAGTAGTCCAATGCTTATTCTACAGTGCTACACCAGGATTCTGACTCAATTTTAGATTTTCCTAAATTTTACAAGAAGGCTAGACACATAACTTTATCCTTATTAATAAGACATTAAGAAGCAAAGCAATTATTGTGAAGGCAGCTAAAATAATTACAAGCTTGTCTGCTAACTTCAAGGTCAGTTGTTTGAATTTACCCGTCACTCTGTGGGAGAAAGATGAGGCTTTCTGCTCCCATAAAGATTTGCAATCTTGGAAAGCCTATTCAAGGTAGCTTCAAGTTGGAATCGATCGATTCAGTGGCACACTACCACCACCACCAACAACCATTCAGATCATTATTAAAAATACTTAGCATGAACATAAATGATTAGGCATATGCAAGCATTCCAATGGTGAAAGTAACATTGCCTTTTAGTCAATATTTACACTCATACCTTTGAATACTTGTTACAATGCTCAGAAGAAAGAATTAATCCAGGTAAGTTACTGGGCAAGTCAAGACGTCTAAAGTACCACACCAGGTTCCAAAAAACAATTGGATGATGGTCCACAAAGTCTGCTACTGTTATGGCATGATCACCTTCATTTTCCAATAAGCTTTCAAGTTCCTTCCATACCACTAAAGGACTAAGATATGGAACAGTGACAGGTTCTGGACTTGGGAGGTGCCACTCTAATCCTAAAGATTCCTGTTGAATACATAAAAACCATAAATAGCAAAAGTAAGAATAACACTAAAACCATTTTCTCAAATTCTTGTCAATGATTTTCACATAGGAAGAGAGGTACTATAGTATTATTAGGACATTAGAAAAATGTTTTTTTGATAATAGTATAACTGAAGCAAATATGATTATTTAGGATAAGGAGAACAATCTATCAAGGTCCACATTAAAAAAAACATAACCACATACTGTAGCTCCTTGTAAAGTAGCTGGCAGGCTGCCTGTTGGAATGAGCTTCTGTCCTCCAGTTTCTTCATTATCCAAGGGGCCATAAGTACTAACACTCCTGGCCATCGGAAATAGTGGACATTTTAACATACTTGTTTTTGATCTATCAGCAGGGATCTGAATACTTCGGGCACATGAATTTTCCTGCAGTTTAGATTTGCTTGGGCATTGAAAAAAAGAAAAAAAAACACACAAAACAACCTTGTTAGTATCTAGATTTACTTTATCTCATCTAGAAGAACCACATTTTTCTATTTCAAACATGAGCTGGATGGTGGTGGTGGTGGTGGTTTTGTGCCGTCGAGTCAGAACCGACTCATGGCGACCCTGTACAGGATTTCTGAGGCTGTAAATCTTTCCAGATGCAGAAAGCCTCATCCTTCTCCTGCAGAACAGCTGGTAGTTTTGAACTGCTGACCTTAAGGTTCACAGCCCGATTCATAACCACTATGCTACCAGAGCTCCTCAGGAGCTGGATATAACAACGTAAATCAAAGGAAAGATGCTACTTAGGTTACAGCCTGGTGTAGTGCTGTAGGTGTAAAGTTATAGGATAAGCACCAAAGTGCAAGGTCAGTTTGAACCGCAAGGTTGGCGGTTCAAACTAACCAGCTACTGTTCGGAAACCCTATAAGGGTCGCTATGAGTCGGAACTGACTCGATGGCACTTAACAACAAAAACAGGCTTCAGCTGAGAAACAGGTCCATTTTAAGTAGTTTCAGCATGTTAGCTTTCTTTCCTTTGTAGTCAATCTTAAATATGAACAATCTTAAATATTCAAGATTCACTTATTTATTGAAAATGTTTAGTGGACAACTTTTGTACAGGAGGAACCACACCTGACCCTATGGATACAAAGCAGAAAAAGCAGCATCTATTCCTTAAGGATGTCTCAGGCTGCTGGAAGAAACAGCCAAGGAGAGAGGTACAACAGAGATACGGTGAAAGAATGTATACAAACACAATTCCTGTTTAGCTGTCTAAGTCTCCAGGAAGCAAACTGGGGACATTATCATGCTGGTACTATGTAGGTGTTTTCTTTTGCCCATGAGCTGCTGATTCAGCTTTACCTGCCCAATCATATATGGTCTACCTGGCACTTTTTCAAAGTGGAGCTGATTTCTGCTTCTGTTTTAAGCATAGATTTACTTATGCTAGGCTTACTGCCTTTTCATGACTGGATTATTTTCTGCTTTGAATTTTTTATTGATACTGAATTATCAGTAATGAACATCATTCTGAAACCAAAAGATATTTTTTTGAGATAATAAGGATTTTAATACAAAAATTTGGGACACATATGTTCCAAATGAACTCTGTAGGATTGGTAGGGTGAGGCCTGCTTCTTCAGATTAATGCAGTTGTACAGGTCCATGACAAGTGGCAGTAGGTATTACAATTGGGACAATAGCTTCTTAAGAAACCTGAAAGGTTGAAAATGTTGATGGATAAATATATCCCATGGGTCACAAAAGGGTTAAGGAGCCCTGATGGCAGAGTGGTTAAAGTGCTTAAGTATTAACCAAAGGTCAGAGGATAGAACCCACCAGCTGCTTAGGCGAAGGAAAATGTGTCAGTCCGCTTCTGTGGAAATTTACAGCTTTGGAAACCCTGTGGGGCATTAATACTCTGTCCTACAGAGTTGCTATGCATTGGAATTGACTAGATGGTTGGCTTGTCTGGTATAAACTTTCAACAGCTCCAAATGTTTTCCTAGATTATTAAACACTGCTAACTAGAAAATTAAATATTCCAAAGCAGAAGTCAGTACTGACTTAATTTATGAAGATATGGAGATTAGGAAAAAATGGTCATTAGAAACTTCAGAATATTTACCTTTGAAATAGTAGCAAAAATTACCATGTATAAATGATACAGCTTAAACTGTGGGGATTCCTAAAGCATAAAATGTAACTGTTTATATTTTTAAGCATTTAGGTTATCAAACAATTTTAATGTTTTAATTAAGAGTAAGAATATAAGGTTATGAATGTTGTTATTTTGAAAATTAAATCTTAAATAGCCAATTTTTCTGTTATTGATAAAATGGATGAATCCACATAATTGTAACTACCTATTTAGAGCAAAGTTCCTTTGGACAGAGACAACAGATGTGTCAAGACCAGAGGCTGATGCTGAGATGCAAGACGGCCTTGTCTGACTTGATATGGAAGATGGAAAATGCAGATTTTCTGTAGATGAGCTGGACTTCAAGAAGTACCTGTCATACGAATCAAAGCAACTTTTTTTAGAAAAGAGATTCTAGGAAACATAATCCATAAACATGAAAAAAAAACAAACATAATTCGCTGACCTTCCAGGTCTTCTTAAATCTCTTATTTCTATATTCAGAAAGGGTAAGAAAAGACTGCCACAAAATGGACATGTGGTATTGAGATTTGAATCATCTGCTGTCCAGCCAGCCATGATTTCTTCATCATGGACAAGGCAGTCACAAGTTCGACACCGAGAGCAACTTGAGATGAGGACCTGCAGAAGAAAATAGCACTTTACAATCATGTAGCCAGTGCATGTTACGAATCTAAAACCATCTCAATTCATGAACTGACTGGAAACCTAAACCTCAGAGAGATTCATTTTTATACATAAAAATGATTACACTTAGCCCAGATTTCATAGCTACTTCAAAACATAACATAATCACCTTTCATAGCTATTTCAGCTAAATCTATTCCAAAGTTCATGCCTAAAAAGGAAACTTTCAGATTCAGGCAGTATTTTTTTCTATTGTACATTTATGGAAAAATAAACTCAGGTATTAATTTGTCAAAACAGGTAGCTGTAATAAGATCGACGCTATTCAAAGTGTAGTCACCCAGCCAATATTGGTCCACAAACTATTTTTTACAGGTTTGTGATGACATAAATAAATAAACTGATAGGAGGATTTGAAAACATTTGAAATAACTTGACATTGCTGCAACATCCAAGCATGTGTTCAATGTAATTTTACAAAAATACCAGCCATGGCAAACTGGAATTTTAAAAGAAACCAACCAACCATGGCCTGTCACTATGGGCAATTTTAGAAGCACTGCTGTAGATAACTGTAATAAACTACATTAATAAACTACAGACATTTCTGAAGCCACCAAAAGCTTTGTAAACTATATCAATGCTCACTTATTTTCAAGTGTGGTGTTGTAGGACAATGCACCGTACTACAAGGTCAGCAGTTCAAACTCACCAGCCGCCCCTCAGAAACCCTATACAGGGTTACTAGCAGTCAGAACTGACTCGAGGTACTTAACAACAACAAGCAAATTAACTTTCTCAGATTTATTCAAATTAGCATGAAATATCAATAACATTCACAAATACATTTGAAAGCAATTTCTTTTTATAGAAAAATCAGAGACTACTTTTAAAGTATAACTTCTTTACTGTGAGAGCACGGGCTATAGGAGCATACCCAGCAGATATGTACATCAGACACAAAGAATGAAAAACGTGATAGAAGTTAACTTCTTCCAAAGCCATTCTTTGTAGCCTCACTAAAAAAAGCTTGCTTGTGTAGAGAAAGCCTCATCTTTCTCCAGCAGAGCGACAGGTAGATTCAAACTGCTGACCTAGCAGTATGACCTGTGTAGTGGTTACCAGCATGTAAGGCTCCTAGACTACATGTAATGGGGATATGTATAAATGCTGAAAAAGAAAATGAATTTCTATATTGACAAAGCCTCAAAGTAAGCATGGAACTATTCTAACTGCAATAAAGTAGAATGTCTTTAATAATTTGAAATACTGGCTATCCAAAAATGGAATTTTAAATTTATTCAGCTGTGATATACATGCTGAGATTTTCAGATGTTCCAAATTGTACTCTGATTAAAGAAGCACCATCAGCAGTTAAAGAAGAATAGCTATCAACAAAAGTTAATCTTTATTACTGCCTGCTACCATAAATACTTAAGGAATATAAATTTTACAAAGCAGTCCACAAAGATGCTCTTGTTAGTAAAACTGTACCTCCATTGCATAGTTCTGGAAGATATTTGCATTACTCGTGTTACAGGAAGATGCCACTTCTGATTTCCCAGGTAAGGCAAACTTTGACAGGGATCCTGATAATTTTTAAAAAACAAGGAGCAAACCCACCAAAATTAATGAGAAAGTATATAAAAATATTTCATTTTCATAAATACACGGATAAATATCAACCTGCTTTATTCAAAATATTAATGGTACTTTAAAATAAAGAAAAAAAGGAAGAAAAAATGTTTTTCAATGTATGTATGTTATTTTTGAATGGTGGTGGTGGTGGTTATGTGTCGCGGAGTTGGTTCCGACTCATAGCGACTCTGTACAGGGTTTCCGAGGCTATAAATCTTTACAGGAGCAGACTGCCTCATTTTGCTCCTGCGGAACAGATGGTAGTTTCAAACTGCTGACCTTATGGTTCACAGCCTGATTCGTAACCACTACGTTAATTCTACTGGCCCCCATGTATGAGGTATATTCACAAAGCCTAAAATATTTACTAACAAATAATTCATTATCTAATATAAAAAGATGCTAAAAGTGGAGAAAATAGTGGAAAGGGGAGGAAGGACCAAGAACTGAAAAGTATGCAAAGGACAGTCCATAGAAAAAGTAATGCAAATGGTCCTTGAACATATACAAGGGGGCTTCAAAAATGGAATAGAAAGATAATGGAATTTTCCCATGAACTTTATGAATACCCCTCATAAAAAGATATTCCTAACTCATTTATAAAAGAAATAGAAGTTAAAACTAAGCTGAAATACATTTCTCACATATCAGACTCACAAAAATCTAAAAGTTTGCCAAGAGATTTTGTTAACAAGGCTATGGGGAAATAAGGACTCTCATATACTGCAGTGGGAATGCAAAACAGTACACCCCTGAGGAAGGGAACTTGGCAGCATCACTTCAAGGAAGAATCTGGAAGTATCTCCCAATGATATATTGGCAAAAACATAGTATGACATAGGTGTATTATAGCATTATTTATAATAGTTAAAAGACTGGAAAAATAACAAAAAAATGATAGCCAGGGAAACCCTATGGGACAGCTTTATTCTGTCACATGGAGTTGTTATGAGTTGAAAATCAACTTGACAGCACCTTAACAACAAACTTGTGATTGTGCTGTTGAGTCAATTCTGACTCACAGCACGTAGTATAGGGTTTCTGAGGAGTGGCTGGTGGATCTGAACCACAGACCTTGTGGTCAGCAGTCCAGTGCTTATACTCCAGCATCATGTCAGGACTCCAACAAACTTCACAAGAGGGAGAATTTTATGTCTTGGAAATACATGTGAGCAAAACCACAAAATGAAAGATAAGGCTTCATTCTTATTTGTTTCATTTGTTATTAATTTTAACTTTGGTGTAACAACTAGTGACATTACCAAAGGCAATCCATACATGAGTGGAATTTTAAAAAATCTGTGGAAAAATGCAATTAAAAGGAAATGGGATTTTTTCCCCAAATTTTGAAGCTCCCACATATAATTATAAAATATTTTCTTAAAGAATACATTTTTTAGTAAAGACATAGTTTCTGGGAAAAAAGTCCCATAAAACTATGATACATGCATACTATGATGAAGTATGCAGTTATAAAAATATATGACATGCCTATATGATGACATGGAATTACATAAATAACAGAACTGTATTGTTAAGTGAAAAAAGTAAGGGCTAGGAAAATATTTGGGAGTCCTGTTATGCGCTGCAGGATAATGCACTGGACTGCAAGGTCAATTCGAGCTGCAAGGTTGGAGGCTCAAACCTACCAGATGCTTCTCGGAAATCCTATACAGGGTCACTATATGTTGGAACCAACTCAATGGCTTAACAACTTAACAACAACAAGGACAGTATTTACAGTATGTTACCTTTTTTGGCTGAAAGCAGAGAATATCAGAAAGATGTTTACCTGTGCTTTATTGACTATGCAAAGGCTTTTGATTATGTGGATCATGACAAGCTATGGACAACATTGCGAAGTATGAGTATTCCAGAACACTTGTTTTGCTCATGAGCAATCTGTACATGGAACAAGAGGCAGTTGTTCAAACTGAACACAGGAACACTGAATGATTTAAAATTAAGAAAGGTGTGCGACAGGGTTGTATTCTTTCACCATACTTATTCAACCTGTATGCTGAGCAAATAATCTGAGAAGCTGGGTTCTATGAAGAAAAACGTGGCATCAGGATTGGAGGAAGACTCATTAACAACCTGCGATATGCAGATGATACAAGCTTTCTTGCTAAAAATGAAGAGGACCTAAAGCATTTACTGATGAAGAACAAAGAGCACAGCCTTTGGTATGGATTACATCTCAATGTAAAGAAAACAAAAATCCTCACCACTGGACCAATAAACAATATTATCATCAATGGAAATTGTCAAGGACTTCATTCTTCTTGGATCAACTATCAAAAAACTCATGAAAGCAGCAGTTAAGAAATCAAAAGACATATTGCGAAATCAAATGACATATTGCATTAAGCAAATCTGCTGCACAAGAACTTTTTAAAGTGTTAAAGAGCAAAGGTGTCAGCTTGAGGACTAAGGTGTGCCTGACCCAGGCCATGGTATTTTCAATAATCTCATATGCATGCGAAAGCTTGACAAAGGATAAGGAAGATCATAGAATAATTGATGCCTTTGAGTTATAGTGTTGGAGGAGAATATTGAAAGTGCCATAGGCTGCCAAAAGAACCAATAGATCTGTTTTTGAAGAAGTGCAGCCAGAGTGCTCCTTAGAGGCCAAGATGGTCAAACTTCGTCTCTCATATTCGGACATGTTGTCAGGAGGGACCAATCACTGGAGAAGGATATCATGTTTGGTAAGGTGAAGGGTCAGAGAAAAAGAGAAAGACCCCCAACGAGATGGATTGGCCAAGTGGCAGCATTGATGGGCTCAAGTGTGGCAACAGTAGTGAGGCTGGCTCAGGATCGGGCAGTGTTTTGTTCTGCTGTGCATAATGTCACTAATGAGTCAGGGCTAACTTGATGGCACCTAACAACAACAACAACCTTTTCAAGCTCACGAACTGCTCCTTGGAAACCCTATACAGGGTTGCTATGGGTGGGAACTGACTGGATGGCACTTTTCAACAACAATAACCTTTTGAGTATGAAGGCAAAGAGGAAATAGGAATACACATGCATGCACATACACACATACATGAACATCTGTCTATATATCTTTAAAGCAACGATGGAAAGCTAAACCAAAACCTAATAAAAAGTGGTTACCTGTAGGGGCACGAAGGAAACAGGGTGAGTGTGAGGAGCTGGGGATAGAAGCTAGGCTTGGCTCTACTGTTATGACTTTGGAGTCATGCAAATATTTTATATAGCAAAAAAAATCATAAAGTTAAAAAGCACAGGAAAAGTACTACAAATCAAAATAAGACTACAAATGAAATGCAAAGTGATGGAACTGTTAGGACAAACCTTCTAAAGAGGCAGAACTTTCCAGGCTTGTTCGGCTGAGATCGATTCCCTTAGTCCCTGGAGTGGCACTGATCTCTTGAGAAGCAGCTCCTTCCAACTCTTGGCAGACATCTTCATCTGTTAAAGAGGTAGATTCAGAATCCTGGGCTCCCACTGAAGAAAGACTGGTACGATCAGAACTTTGATCCTAAGAACATAATTATAAGCTTAATTTCTTTAATATTTAATGTTATTTAAAAAAGTCACTTCTAAAGCAGAGGAAACAGGGTCTTGTAAGTTTTGAATGGTCATTTAAGATGTAACTATATAAATAATTTCCTGATTTTTTTTTTTTTTTTCCTAACATAGATGTGTTTAAGGAGCATGGTTAAAGCAAATATCCTTGAAAGTAAGTGGCTTGTTTGGGGGGTTGGGTTTGGCACAGAGTATAGGGGAAGAGGGAATTTGAAAAGAAAAAATAGTAGCAGCAGATACCAACAAAACTTACCTTAGATGATGTGGTATACATGGTAAATCTTGAATACCATTTGCTTGCTTTCTCTGCAACTCCTTTTCCAGCAGTGAACATACTATTTCTTAGAACATCTAATTTAGGTACTAGTAGTGTATCTAAATTAAATGAAGGTGAAGAATGGGTTAATGTATCTTGAGATTCTTCCCTAAACGGGCAAGTAGGTGAGAAGGCTGGAGACGACCAGAGTCTATCCCTTGGTCGGTCATCATTTTTTGTGTAACTTTTAGATTTGGTAAGTCTTGTTGGCCTTGGAGAATTAGGAGGAAGACTGGATCTTCTGCCTGCCTTGATGAATGTTGGACTTTTCTTACTGGTTAATTTATCATCACATGCCCGTTGTAAATCAATGCTTGGTGTACGACTTGTCAAAGGGCTGCTCATATTATTCATATACATCACAATTTCTTCTGCTAAATCACGCTTAGTAGATGGTGTTGAAATGCTTTTGCTATCGTCTTCCTCCTCCTCCTCCTCTTCTTTTTGTTGCTGTTTAGTCTCAGCAACCAAAAGAGAGAGGGGATCAAATCCTGTTGCAACGTCAGTTTTTTCAGAAGGTTTCACTGAAAAGCTGCTGTTCATACGTTGAATCCTCTTGGGATTTTGTGCAGCAGTATATCTTGCTTTTGATCTATCTGGCTCATTGTCTAGGTCTTCTAAGTCAAAAATCACAGGAGACTCCACTTTATCTGTCAAAAAGCTAAAACCATCAAAAGGTGTATCATCATCACTAGATTCCTTTTCTAGACTATCTCTTTTTGACCTTAAAGGTGGCTTTCCAATAGCCAGAGTATTTGGTCTTGTGTTTTTCGTGACAACATTTGAAAGAATTTTTGCATCAGCTCCTAATTTTTCAACTATATCTCCAGGGTTTGCTTCCTGGTTAATTCTGTTGAGCATAATTCCCATTAATACTCCTCCACTAAGATTACGGTTTCTGCTTCCCCAGGCCATTTGTTGCTCCAAGTTAGGTTCATCATCACTTTTATGTCTTTTCCTGAAGCATCTATTTTCAATGTTTCCTGTTTCCTTTGTATCTTCAAAAGGTGATATTAATAGCAACTCAGGTGTGCTTTCTGGGGAAAAAAAAAGAAAGAAAAAAGTATTTTTAGCAATGAAAAATGTAACATGCAAATAGAAGTCATCTTAAGTATTTAAAATACTAGCAGTGAAAATGATAATAGTACGTATTCACTAAGTGCTATTACACAGATACTATTTGTTGTTGTTGTTAGGTGCCATTAATTCGGTACTGACTCATAGCGACCCTATCCACAACACAATGAAACACTACCCAATCCTGGGCCAATTTCACAATCGTTGCCAGGCTTAAGGCCATTGATGCTGCCATTTTGCCAATCAATCTTGCTGGGGTCTTCCTCTTTTTTTCTGACCCTCCACCTTACCAAACATGATCTCCTTCTCCAGCGACTGGTCCCTCCTGACAATGTATCTGATGTATGAGAGACGAAGTTTGGCCATCCTGACCTCATCAGAGCACTCTGGCTGCACTTCTTCCAACACAGATCTGTTTGCTCTTTTGGTAGCCCATGGCACTTTCAATATTCTCCAACACCATAAATGAAAAGCATCAATTCTTCTACGGTCTTCCTTATCCTTTGTCCAGCTTTCACATGCATATGAGGTTATTGAAAATACCATGGCTTGGGTCAGGCGCACCTTAGTCCTCAAGCTGACATCTTTGCTCTTCAACACTTTAAAAAGTTCTTGTGCAGCAGATTTTCCTAATGCAATATGTCGTTTGATTTCTTGACTGCTGCTTCCATGAGTGTTGATGGCTGATCCAAGAAGAATGAAGTCCTTGACAAATTCAATTTTTTCTCCGTTGATAAGAATGTTGTTGATTGGTCCAGTGGTGAGGATTTTTGTTTTCTTGACATTGAGATACAATCCATACTGAAGGCTGTGCTCTTTGATCTTTATCAGTAAGTATTTTAAGTCTTCTTCACTTTCAGCAAACAAGCTTGTACCATTTGCATATCTCAGGTTGTTAATAAGTCTTTCTCCATTCCTGATGCTATGTTTTTCTTCATAAAACCCAGCTTCTCAGATTATTTGCTCAGCATACAGGTTGAATAAGTACAGTGAAAGAATACAATGCTGTCACACACATTTTTAAATTTTAAACCATTCAGTGTTTCCATGTTCTATTTGAACAACTGCCTCTTGGTTCAGGTACAGATTCTCCATGAGCACAATTAAGTGTTCAGGAATACTCATACTTTGCAATGTTGTCCATAGCTTGTCATGATCCACACAATCGTAGTCAATAAAACACAGGCAAACATCTTTCTGATATTCTCTGCTTTCAGCCAAGATCCATTGGACATCAACAATGACATCCCTTGTTCCATGTCCTCTTCTAAATCCAGCTTGAACCTCTGGAAGTTCTCTATCAATGTATGCTTGCAGCCGTTTCTATATTACCTTTAGTAAAACTTTACTTGCATGGAATATCAAAGAGATTGTCTGATGATTTCCATATTCTGTTGGGTCACCTCTCTTTGGAATGGGCACAAATATGGATCTCTTCCAATCAGTTGGCCAGATAGCTGTCTTCCAAATTTCTTTGCATAGATGAGTGAGTGCCTCCAGTGCCACCTCACTATCTTGAAAGATTTTAATTTTAGTTCCATCAGTTCCTGGTGCCTTGTTCTTTGCTAATTCTTTCACTGCACCTTGGACTTCTTCCTTCAGTATCACTGGCTCTTGATCAAATGTACCTCTTGAAACAGTTGAACATCAATTATTCCCTTTTGGTACGGTGAGTCTATATTCTTTCCATCTTCTTTTTTTTTTTTTTAATTTAAGGTTTTTATTGTGGATTGAGTGAAAGTTTACAGGGCACATCATCAGTTTCACATTCAACAATTAATATAACTTGTTTCATTACTTTGATTATATTCCCCTCCATATACCATCAGTTAAAAGTATTTCTCTTTATCCACTTTAGCTTTTTTGAAAAACACACAAACAAAAAAACCCACTCAGGCATACATAATAAATTACATCTCCAAAGGGCACATTCTGCAAGTCCTGCTCCTGGCCACCAGTTCTTAGTCCTTCTCTTCTTAGTTGATGAATCTAGAGTCCTCAGCCGCTCCCCCTCTCCATGCCCCCATCTCTGCCTCCATCTCTGGCACTGCTGCTTCTCTGGATAAGGTTCCTTCCATCTTCTTTTGATGCTTTCTGCATCATTCAATAATCTGCCCAGAGAATCTTTCCATAATAAAAGTCAAGGCTTGAATTTTTTCTTCAGTTCCCCCAGCTTGAAATATGCTGAGCATGTTTTTCCTTTTTGGTTTTCTGACTCCAGATCTTTGCACATTTCACTGTAATATTTGACTTTGTCTTCTTGAGCTGATATTTGAAATTTTCTGTTCCGCTCTTGTACCTCCTCAATTCTCCCATTTGCTTTAGCATATCTACGCTGGAGAGCAAGTTTCAGTGTCTCTTCTGACATCCATTTTGATCTTTTCCTTCTTAATGACTTTTTGCTTTCTTTCTGTGTGATGTTCTTGATGTCATCCCACAACTCTTCTGGTCTTTAGTGTTTAATGTATCAAATCTGATTTTTTCAGATGATCTCTAAATTCAGGTGGGATATATTCAAGGTCATATTTTGGCTCTCATCGACTTGTTTTCATTTTCTTCAGCTTCAGTTTGAATTTGCATATGAGCAATTCATAGTCTGTTCCACTATCTGCCTCTGGCCTTGTTTTGACTGATGATATGGAGCTTTTCCATCGTATCTTTCCACAGATGTAGTCAATTTGATTTCTGTGTATTCCATCTGGTGAGGTCCATGTGTATAATTGTCTCTTATGCTGTCTAAAGAAGGTATTTGAAACAAACAAATCATTGATTTTGCAAAATTCTATCATGTGATCTTCAGCATCATTTCTATCACAAAGGCCATATTTTCCAACTACTGATCCTTCCTCTTTGTTCCCAACCTTGGCATTCCAATCATCAACAATTATCAACACATCTTGATTGAATGGATGATCAATTTCAGATTGAAGAAATTGGTAGACTTATTCTATTTCATCCTCACTGGTTTTAGTGGTGGGTGCCTAAATTTGAATAATTAACTGGCTTTCCCTGTAGGCACAGGGATATTATCCTATCATAGATAAGTGTTGTACCTCATGACTGATCTGGATATGTTCTTTTTGACAATGAATGCAACACCATTTCTCTTCAATTTGTCATTCCTGGCATAGTCAACCATGTGTTTGTCAGATCCAAAATGGCCAATACCAGTCCACTTCAGCTCACCAATGCCTAAGATTTGTTGTTTATGTGTTCCAAATTGGTCTCAACTCATAGTGACCCTGCACATTATTGACAATTTCCAATTTTCCTAGATTTATACTTTGTACATTCCATTTTCCAATTATTAATGGACGTTTACAGCTGTTTCTCTTCATTTTGAGTTGTGACCCATCAAAAAATTAAGATACCATGGGCTTTACTCCATTTGGGTCATCATGGTCAACTCTACTTTGAGGAGGCAGCTCTTTCCCAGTTACTACACTAGCAGCACTTTACATTAACTTTGTAAATGTCCCAACGTCCTTATGAGAAAAAAATCCGACACACAGAGAGCTTAACCTTGCCCAGTCCTTAAATGGCAGAACTGAGATTCAAATTCAAGTTTGACTGACTATAAAGTGTTTGCTCCTAGACACTATAATACATTGCTTTTATAAATGTATAAATTAAGATAATTTACTCTCATTATATTTAATAATAAGGAGTACTGGTATGCAATGGTTAAGCACTCGGCTGTTAACCAAAAGGTAATGGTTTGATCCCTACGCTATGTAGGAGAAAGATATGACAGCCTGTTTCCATAGCAATTTGCAGCCGTGGAAATCCTCTAGCGTACTTCTATTCTCTTCTAAAGGGTTGTCTGATGAGTCAGAATCTACTTGACAATGGGTTTGGTTTCAGAGTATTTAATAATAACAAATCTACATCACTAAACTGATTCAAGAAGACTTACCCCATTGTGGTTGTGTTAGATGATCTTGAGATTCTAAGTATTGGGGGAGAGGCAATGGAAAACCCCACAAAGCAAATTAATCCTAATTAAAAGGCAGTTATGATAACCTTATCCATAAATAAAAATTATTTTAAAAAACTTCAAATCCCTATGACTATATTATTATTGTGTGCTGTCAAATTGGTCCCAACTCATAGTGACCCTGTACAGGGTTTCCAAGAACATCTGGGGGTTCTTAACTGATGACCTTGCAGCTAGCAGTCCAGTGCTTATCCTACAGCACCACACCATGGCCCCAGTGACAATAGCGGTGACTAAATAATTTCACCTTTGCTTAACATAGTAGTTGCAAGCTTAGACTAGTCAAATGTTGTAAATGGTTAATTCCTACTAGAAACACTGTTGACTACTCTCTACCAAATACCTTAAGTAACAGAATTGATAATAAAGCAGGATCCTTTGATATGCTGTCTACAAGTAACACACGTGACACTCAAAGACAAACATAGATTAAACTGTAAAAGAAACAAATTTATCAAGCTAATGGCAATCAAAAATGAGGAGGAGTTGCAATATTAATCTCTGATAAAATAGACTTTATGGCAAAAACTAGCATAAGTGACAAGGAAGGACAATATTTTATGATTAAAGTGTGAGTTGAACCAGAGGACATAAACACAACAATTATCTATGTTCCCAATGAAAGAGCCTCAAAATACATAAATCAAACTCTAATAAAACTAAAGAAAGAAATAGATAACTCTCTAATAACAGTAGGGTGTGGTGCTGTGGGTTAATGCGCTGGACTACAAAGCCATTTGAACTGCAAGGGCGGCGGTTCAAGCTCACCAGCTGCTCTTGGAAACCCTATACAGGGTCAGTATGGGTCGGAATCGACTCGACAGCACTTAACAGCAACAACTGTCAAAAAAGGACAGAAGGACCAAAAAGAAACTCAACAAAGAGGAATTAAACAACATAATCAATCAATTTGATCCCATAGATTTATACAGAGCATTCAACTCAGTAACAGCACGATACACATTCTTTTCCAGTGCACATGGGAAGAGACTGTCTCTTCAACAAATGGTGCTGGCAAAACTTGAAACTCATTTGCAAGAGAATGAAAAAAGACCCATATCTTACACCATATATAAAAATAAACTCAACATGGATTAAAGACCTATGTAAAACCTAAAACTATAAAGATCATCAATGAAAAAATAGGGGAAAACTTAGGGGCTCTGATTAATGACATAAATACACTAGCTAACCTTGCAAAAACCATACAACCAGTAGAAGATAATGGCTGTTGCTGTTAGGTGCTATTTAGTCAGTTTCAATTCCTAGTGACCCTATGTACAACAGAATGAAACACTGTGGCATTCTCACAACTGTTACATTTAAGCCCATTGTTACTGCCACTGTGTCACTCCATCTCAGTGAGGGCATCTCATCTCTTCCTCTTTCTCACTGACCCTCTGCTTTACCGAGCATGATGTCCTTCTCCAGAGACTGGTCCTTCCTGACAACATGCCCAAAGTATGAGAGATGAAGTCTTGCCATCCTCACTTCTAAGGAGCATTCTAGCTATACTTCTCCAAAACAGATATGTTGATTCTTCTGGCTGTTCATGGTAGTTTAAATATTCTTCATCAACATCATAATCCAAATGCATTGATTCTTCTACAGTCTTCCTTATTCACTGTCCATATTTCACATGCACATGAGAAATATTATTTATGGCTTGGGTCAGGTACACTTTAATCCTCAAACTGGTATCTTTGCTCTTGAACACTTTAAAAGTGGTGTTTTACAGCAGATTTGCCTAATACATATGTTGTCTGATTTCTTGACAGCTACTTCCATAAGCATTAATTGTGGATTCATGCAAAATGAAGCTTTGATACCTTCAGTCTTTTCTTCATTTATCATGATGTTATTTAATGTTCTAGTTGTGAGGATTTTTGTTTTCTTTACATTGAGGTGCAATCCACATTGAAGCCTGCTGTCTTTGATCTTCATCAGTATATACTGCTTCACTTCCAGCAAGCAAGGTTATGTCATAAGCTTCCAGCATATTGCAAGTTAATGAGCCTTCCTCCAATCCTGATGTCATGTTCTTCTTCACCGAATCCAGATTCTCAGATCACTGCTCAGTATACAGATTGAATTAGTATGGTGAAAGGATACAACCTTTCCTGATTTTAAATCATTCAGGATTGATATGTTCTTTTTGAATGACTGTCTCATGGTTCTATATACAGACTCCGCACCAGCACAATTAAGTGTTCTAGGATTTCCATTCTTCAAATTGTTATCCAGAGCTTGTTATGATGCTCATAGTCAAATGCATTTACATAGTCAACAATGTGCAAGTAATCATCTTTTTTGGTTTTTTTTTTGCTTTTTAGCCAGGATCTATTTGACGTCAGCAATGATATCCCTCATTGCACATGCTCTTCTGAATTCAAGATAACGGTTAGGATAGACTAAATGGCTGTGAAGCAATCCTGTGATACAAATGATTTTTTTTTTCATGTTTTAAATTATAATAATTAACTAGAAAAAAATAGATGGTCATAGATTATATAATTTATTATTTTTTAAATAGCTACAGCAGGGGGCCACAAAGCTTTTCTGAAGAGTGCCATACAGTAAATATTTTAAGCTTAACAGGTCATATGGTTTCTGTCACAGTTATACAACTCTGCCATTGCAATGCAGAGGCACAGACAATATGCAAATATATGCATGGGGCTGTGTTCCAATAAAGCTTATGAACATTGAAATTTGAATTTTATATAATTTTCATATGCCACAAAGTATTCTTCTCCCCTACCCCCACCCTCAAGCTACTTAAAAAATCTAAAAACATTCTTAGCTCATGTGTCTACAAAAACAGGCTGTAAGCCCAATTTGGCCCTGGGTCACCTTTTGCCAACCCTTGATTAGAAGCAATATTGCTGTAGAAAAATGAAAAAAATATTGTTGCAGTAAGGCATTTAAACATGAAGATTCCAGCTTTGATAGTATAAATTCTTCAATATTTTCTGACTATAAAAATGACAAAAATTGATTTTTAGTGTAAAAATAATCATGTTAACACAAGAAAATCACAGTTTGCTCCCATTTAATTCCTCAAAAATGGTATGCTGAAAATTTGTGGACAAGCATTAATTCTGGATCCTAACCTTACTGTTACATTAACGAGTTGATAACCTAGGTGATTGCCCACCATCATTTTATAGCTAGTGATTCTCACCATTAAATCAGTGCTAATGGCCACTCTCACTAATCTCAGCATTGCTGTACTAATAAGTATGAAATGACAGGTAAAAAGCTTTTTGGAAAAAAATATTGGATCTTGTTATCTAAACTACTTGAAGGTCTGTCTTTTTGTCTCTGGAAAAACAGGAACAACATGAATACTAAGGAACCATATGCTTCATTTAACTATTGGCTCACTGTATCCTACCCTCAAAGTGATTAACAACCCTGTCCCTACTTTGCCATTCCAAGTAGTCTCAACAATTTGGATAGATGGCACCTAACAACAACAAAACTCAAAAGATACATATATATATAGATTGTAGGTTTGCCTCTATATTTGTTCAAATAAAAGTTTAAGTATGCTATAAAATATCAAATTCAAGCTACTCAGCTGTATACCAAAAGAGGTAGTACAAATGAAAATAATGTAAATAAACAACCCTACAGAATTAAGACTAAAAAAATATATATATATAAATCTTTACTAGAAATACAGATACAACCCATTAGTTTACATAACAGAGATAATACTATTTAACTCACCTGTACTTTCTCCTGATCTTTTATCAGCACTATTGTTACTTGTACCACTGAGGCGAACTATACTGGAAGAACTTTGATAATTGAGCTTAGTAAGGCAATCAGCACTTCCTTTTGTACTCTCACTCTCCGACACTGTTAAGATTAAAATGAAAATGTTAATAAAACGAAGTCTCTATGTATTGTAAGAAGAAAAAAAAAAGCTTTTAACTATACATATTTATGCATAAAAATAGGTAATAAGTTAAAGAAATACAAAACATTTCTATATCTATTTGTCAACCATAAATAAGTGGTGTCATTTACTTGAGGTCTCAAGCTGTGGATCAAATTATTAAAGTCCTGGTAATGCATATAGTCTAGGACATAAAGATCCTATGCTTACCAACCATACATGTTAAAAAGGGCAGCATATGTCCAGGGCTAAAGCCCTGGAGTGGTACTGTAACATAAGCACGAGACTGGTAACTAGGTCAGCAGTTCAGATCCACCCAGCCCTGTTCTTGGAAACCCAATACAGGTTTACTAAGTGTCAGACTAACTTGATAGCACACAACAACCAGGGTCAGAAGGTAGGAAGGGATATGCAAGAAGAACAAGCAGCTATGGTAAATGCAGGGAGGAAGTGGGAAGAGTGCTGCCACATTGTGGGGATTGCAATCAATGTCATGAATCAGAATGTGAATGAACTGTTGAAATGAAAACCAGTTTGCTCTGTAAACTTTCACCCAAATCACAACAAAAATTTAGAAAAAAGACACAATGTCTTAACTTTTATACAACACAATTATCCAAATTGGCTCCCAATGTCAGTGTTCATTTCTGTTAACTAACTTATAAAATTTAAGTTTTCCTCTTTGTTTGTGTAACAGTACTTTTGGAGGGAGAGGGAAGAGGACATCAGGTCACACTACATTAACAAACTTACTAAATAAAACTACTGGTAAACTTCAGAAAAGTGTCAATGTTTCAAGAAATACATAGCACTTACCCTAACATTCACTGACTGTAAGATTGCATTACCACTGAAAATACACATTTTAATAATGTGAAGCATCTGTATATTAAAATATTAGGTGGTCATGTAATGGGAGGAAAGAAAGAGTTATAGTGGAAAAGCAGGAAATAAACTAGTACTTTTATACTAAAGTCATTTGTATTTTCTGTAAATACAAGTTTGCAATTTTATATAGTACCAGTAATACCCACAGGAACTAGAATCACTCCCTTTGTTATCTTCCTTTTCTTCTAGAATGTCCTCAGTGGATGTATTCCCTCTTCTAACTTCATCTTTAGATAAAGAATTATATCCAAGATCAGACTGGCCACCTAGGAAAAAGAGAAACAAAGCTCTGTGTTGTTTATCATAGGTTTCTTCGGTGAGAGCAACTACAACCAGGAAAAGCACATTCGTGTTTGCATTTACTCATAGAAATGTTTCTGAATAATTTCCAGTTGAAAATATTGCTTTGTTAGACAACTCCCTATTTCTATTACTGCAAAATGAGATAATCTAAAAGTCATTTTTTTTTTTGCTCCATATTAGAGTAAATGAGAAGTCTTGGTGGTATACTGGGTTACACATTCGGCTGAATCCATCAGACGCTCCGCATGAGAAAGATACAGTTTTCTACTCCTATGAAGATTTATAGCCTATACAGGGTCGCTATGAGTTGGGACTGACTAAATGGCACACAACATTAGAGTCAAAAGTAACTATGTACACTCACACTGCAATGTACATTCCAAAAACCACAGACAAACCACACAGTCTTCATACAACTCCATGACCTTTCTGGGTTGAAGTCTGAGTTCCAACTAAGCTATGAAGAAGAGTAATCTGCAGAGAATTCAAACTAGAACATTCACACAGAGATCACTACAATTGAGTGTCTAAATGATTTTGCAAAACCAGTAAGTCTATTTAAATTTATTAATTTTTTTTGTTGTGTGCCATTGAGTCTGTTCCAACTCATAATTACACTGTATAGGGTTTTCAAGAGTGGCTGGTGGGTTTGAACTTCCGACCCTGGTGTTACCAGACCAACGCTTATCTTAGGGCTCAAATTATTGATAATCAATTTTCCTGAAAAGTCAATTGAAAAATTATTTAATGGCATGGTAAGTACAAATATGGGACTAGTGTGGTACTGCAGGATAATGCACTGGACCACAAAGTCAGTATGAACTGCAAGGTCTATAGTTTAAACTCACCAGCCGCTCCTTAGAAGCCCTATGCAGAACTGACTCGACAGTTCTTAACAACAACAACAATAAAGTACAAATATGGGAGTGCAATAAGTACTGGACTGCGAATCACAATGTCCAGTTCCAGCAGTCCAGCCACTCCACTGGAAAAAGATGAGGCTTTTTGCTCCAGGGAAGAATTTACAAAGTCTGGGCAACTCTATACAGGGTTGCTATGAGCTGGAACCAACTCTAGGGCACTTAAAAACAAAACAACAACAAAGTATAAATATATGGGAAAAACAAAACAAAATCCTAACACAATAAAGTTATTGTTAGAAAAGTAAAAATTACATCAATATAAGAAAACTTCAAAAACATTGTTTTGTTAAAGAGGCTATCATTTTCAGCAAATTGTTTTTACTGAATAAGCAACAAAGATAAATTCATTTATTTTTTTTAACTTTTTCTTGTGAATTGAGTGGAGGTTTACAAACAAGATCACCAGCTTTACATTCAACAAATCATACACTTTGTTTCATCTCAATGATTACAATCCCCTCCAAGTAACAGTTATCCTGCTTCCTCCTGGTGACTTCATTTGCATTCCATCTTCCTTCCCCTCTCAACTTTGTCCTTAGGAAAATGTTGCCCTTTTAATATGGAATGATTGACCATTCCATGGTGAGCATACTTTGCTAGTGCTGTTGTCCCTCCTTACAAACCCATCTACTGCTTGGTTGAAAATCATAGTTCTCTAAATTTTGGAGACATAAATTTTTTTTTTTTAATGTTTTATTGTGAATTATATGATAGTTTACATGGGGGAACTTTAGTTTTACATTCATTCCATTTTATATCATCCCACTGCCATGGTTCCAATCCCCTCCATGCATCATCAACCACCCAAAGGGTATATCCCAGAAACCCGCTCCACACACTTCCCCCCACCCTCACCTCCCCACCCCCCAGTTTTTGGCCCACAGTCCCTTTCCCTCTCTGAGTCCAA